GAGCCAAATTAAAACAAACAACACAAGCAGTTAACTGCCACTGAGATCCATTCTCCACTGTGGCTCTAGCCAGGTGGAGGTTGGGGTTGACAGGAACTAATCAATCTAGTAATGAATGTCTACAGAGACAAAACGATGACATTATGCATCACACCTGGGTGAATTAAAAGAGAGCCACTTTACATTCAGACGGCAATTACGGATTCAGCATGTCTCCTGTTTATCCATTATGTCAGGTAGCGTAGGAGAGAGGGAGGTGGGGAAAAGCTAAAGGCGAAAAACATGTCAGGTGAATGAAACTGTAAACTGTAAATTTAATCACATTAGTCTCACATTGCCAGACTTTTGACTATTAGTCTAGTCCAGAAGATGTAAGCTTATTCTGGACAAGAACTATCCACTGAGGCTCTGACTGACATGAAAATTGACTAATGAGACTAATTTTTATGTGCCTTTTAGTGTCAGGCTTATTCTGGGGGGAAAAACAACAACTATCAATATAACATCACAAACAATATAACACCAGTGTTCTTCAACCAGCTGTACAGAAATCACAGAAGAAATCTGCAGAAAAGTGTGTAGACTTCTAAAATTTCTTTACATCCAAAAGTAACATGGATCTCTAGTTTGCTTGTTTACTAAGTGAACAAACAAAACTCTAAATATCCTACTTTAAGCAAAACTTCAAACTTTGAAACTTAAAGTTTCATGGGAACATGAAGGTTTTATGTTTTTTTGACAGCACCACATGTCATCATTCATTATTGACTCTAGCTGAGTTTTCCGTTAAATTAGCCAAAGGTAGCGTACAATCGAGAGCTGACATTTCCGTTTCAGATCCCTGATAAATCTTGTATGAGGTTTGGGATGGATTTGCAGTTTGTATACGCAGGTTCACATGATGGATTCTTGTGTGTGCGCAGTACCTGTACACTAAAATATTTAATGAAGTTATGCATGTCTTGAGGATTTTTTTTTCCACAGGCACAGTACAACTAATGGCGTATGGGTCATTCATAGTGTCCCTATCATATACAGTATGTCTTAATGCATAGGAGTCCATAAATGTCAACACATTTGATCAATTTAATATCTTTCAAGGAAAAAAAACCTTGACCCCAAGATTTTAAATGGCGGTGTAACCTAACATTTTTAAAGACAAAAATCAGGTTGCTTTTATTTATTGCAGTATTTGGTTTGAGTGGACGTTGGCATTTTTGCCATGAATCAAAATATAATCAATATAATATCAAAATTACACAAGAAAAAATATAGTATGAGCACACTAATTTTATAAAATTCAAATGGTACTGAAATTTCTAAATTTTTATAGTTTTTACAGGTACAGTTTCCCCCCAATTAAAGGGATAGTTCACCCAAAAAAAAAAATTACCCCATGATTTATCCTACTCACCCTCAAGCCATCCTAGGTGTACATGACTTTCTACTTTCAGACGAATGCAATCAGAATTATATTTTTAAAATGTCCTGGCTCTTCCCAGCTTTTTAACTCTTTCCCTGCCAGCATTTTTTTAAAAAGTTGCCAGCCACCGCCAGCGATTTTCATGATTTTCACAAATGTAATGGTCTCCAGTTTATTTTGCTGTATGAATATTTGAATATGCAATGCACCAAAATGAAGATCAGAGCCTTTTTTTATCAACACTTGAACATAGGTAGGTTTAATAAAAAATGCATTATTTTGAGCAAAAAGGTGAGAAATTCACATTTTTATCAAAAACTATATCTGGATAATATTCAGTACGATTATCAAAGCAGAAATCCAGTAAATCGCTTCCATCAATACCTCCAAAGCTTGCACAGACATATACCACTTCCTGGATCAACATTTTACTCCATAACATTATGCAGTTTTCATTTATATGCTGTCTATTGCTGATGATCGCATTATTTTTCATATGCATCCGTTTACATAAGAGATCGCTACTTTCTCCATCCTGTTCACGTGTGTTTTTGTTCGGGAGGTTTTGTACTCGTTCAGAAGATGTGTAATAGCGTCCCCGAGTGTATAACAGTGAAAACATGAAAAGCCATAAAAATGTGTCTTTGGCGGAGAAGCGTTTTCTTCTAAAAGACGAGATAACTCGTCAATGGCGGGGAAAGAGTTAATGGCAGTGAATGGGTGTTAAGAGTTTGAAGCAAAATAAAGTGCATCCATCCATCCATCATAAAACATACTCCACGGAACTCCAGGGGTTAATAAAGGCCTTCTGAAGTGAATTGATGTGTTTGTGTAAGAAAAAATATCTATATTTAAAACTTTATAAACCATAATCTCTAGCTTCAGCTAACTGTCGTAGGCGTGTTTATGAGAGAGTGGCATTCCAGGCGATGATGTATAGGATGTAGGCGTAGCGTAAGCTCCAGTGAGAAGTGGCAAACGCAGAAGTACAGAGGAGAGAACAAAACAAAACACCGGTCATGAATTAGAGATACAAAATGAGGATCTGTAAAGAAAAACGTAGGAGGATTTCGATATAAGCCAAAGGGAGACTGGTTTTCCGCTGGAATGCTACTCTCTCGGGAACGCGCATACGACAGTTAGCAGAAGCTAGAGATTACGATTTATAAAGTTTTAAATATGAATATTATTCTTACACAAACACATTGATTCACGTCAGAAGGCCTTTATTAACCCCCCAGAGCAGTGTGGAGCACTTTTTATGATGGATATTATTTTGCTTCAAAATCTCAACACCTATTCATTGCCATTATAAAGCTTGGAAGAGCCAGGATATTTTAAATATAACTCTGATTGTCATCATATACACATAGGATGGCTTGAGGGTGAGTAAATCATGGGATAATTTTAATTTTTGGGTGAACTATCCCTTCAATTAATACTGTATCTATGGGGGAAAAGTCAACATTCATTTCCTCATGACATAGGTTTAATATAATGTGTGTTTAAAAATATACAGCGTTTTGTCTCCACTAATTTGCATACATTTTGTGTGATACATTTTAAAAGTAGATTTCTATGCATATTCCATTCTCCTAATTAATATGAGAACATGAAACTTCATGGATAATAATTTTCACAGAATTATTGATAAATACCTTCCTTGTGCCTTTTTTTTTTTTAAATGCAACTTGTTCCGCACTGAAACCACTTTCCTTTTTGGGCAGATGTCATAAATCCCTCTTACTTTTGTTTGAACATTAATGAAACTTTTACTGAAAGTTATGTGCAATATGCACAAACGCTAACATATTATAAATATGAGAGACATGCGTTTCAGAGTATTGCAATTCAAGCTCCATTTGCGGTTACACATCTTTAAAAAGCACTAATACATGGCCCGAATAATTTTGCAATGCAATCCAGGGATTTCTGTTTAATATAGGTCACACTTTTAGAGGCAGGATAAGCCTGGCTCTGGCCGAACAATCTTAGTGGTTTTAGAGAGGTAAAGTAAACACGCCAGTGCTGGAACACAAAAGAGCCACCTGTCACAGACAGACAGAGGCCGACAGGCATATTCTCAACTGTTTATTCTCTGATACAATAGAGCCAGTGACACAGTATTACAGTCTGACATGTGCCGAGCTGTGTGTTTGTTTAAGTGATGGCGCAGGGCGATTGGGACATTCCGGATCAGGTGTGATCTGAGTTAAGAGTGCTCAAGAGTCCCAGAGGGAGTGAACAGCCCACCGGTGTCTCATTCAGATAAACCAGGCGTTTTCTGGTTTTATTATCCCACAGAGATGGACTATTTGTGGAAATTGTTAGAGCAGAATTTAAAGGAGATGAGATCTAAATACAGTTTATTCAATTTTTAAAAAGAAAACCATTATTGTACTCCAAATATGCTCAAAATCGATTTCAAAATGGCTAAATACCAGCCCATTAATCACGTTCTGTGGAACACAAAAGATATTTGTCCAAACAATGAAAGTCAATAGGGTCCAATGTTGTTGTTATGGAAGCTAATTTCTGCCACTGAATAAAAAAAACAATTCTGACTTCAGAATTGTGAGATATAAACTTGCAACTGCATATAAAGTCTAATTCTGAGGGGGAAAAAATACTATTTTCTTACGACTGTGAATTTATATTTCAGAATTCTGACTTCATAACACGCAATTGCGTGGTAAGTTAGAATGGCAAGACATATGCTAGCAATTCTGAGAAAAGAAGTTAGAACTGCGAGTTTATATTGAACAATTCTGACTTTATAACACGCAATTCTGACTTTATAACTTGCAACTGTGATTTTGTACCTCGCAATTGTGAGAAAAAAAGTCAGAATTGTGAGATGTTACAATTACCTTTTTTATTTTTTTATTTAGTGGTGGGGGGGTGGGGGACATGACAGTGAGTAAATGATGACAATTTTCATTTTTGGATAACCCATTCATTTAAGATCTAAACATTGCTCCAGGCACAAAACACTACAGTAGATTAGGTTTACAGCTTCACACCTCCCTTAAACTCTAGCCAACACCCATATCGTGCAAATAACCACACTTTAAGGCATCCTGTGATGTCCCATTATAATCCAAGAGCCATTGCAGTGCAGTATTGTTCCTGTAGATTATGATTTTCAGGATAACGCAGTAAACACAAGTCACCTTCCTGTCCAGGGCCACAGTATTCGGGCTTATGGGATCGATATGAAGGCCAACGGTGTGGGGATTTGGGCTTAACCTACACTGATCTTGCACAATAAACTCACAAGCTACAAGCTCTGGGACTCAGACAAGATGAATGACACGAGGGTAGAATTATCAAGTGAACCTCTAAACTTTCAAAGTTTCTGTGAGGAATCAGGGATGTCATGTAGATGAAATCTGATTGGAAAAACTGTGTTGTATTAGTGTAAATTGTACAAAAACAAGACTCAAAATTCCACACTGTCCAAGAATCACAAAACCAAGATGATTTACACAGGATTTCCATGGCCCAGAGAAAAGCAAATATTGTTTTTACATAATTCTGAATTGCATTTAGAAAAACAGAAAAACATGTTGCTTACCAGGAGGTCCTTGGAGTTTGGCTTTCTTAACTGAAAAAAAAAATAAAAGTAAAAAATGGTCAGAACAACAAAATAATTACATTGTTGTTTCATGCTAAGAGCTACATATTGTACATTGGCACAAGTCTACGTAAAAAAAACATTAAAATGATAGTCCATCCAAAACTGAAAATGCTGTCATTATTTACTCATCTCTTGTCTTTCAAACATGTATGAGTTACAGAACACAAAATAAGTTATTTTGAAGAATGATGGTAACAGTTTTGGTGAACTCTGACTTCCAAAAAAAAAATAACACTGAGACATTTCTCAAAATATCTTCTTTTGTGTTCCTCAGAAGTAAGTCACACAGGTTTGGAATGACATGAGAGTGAATAAATAACCGAATTTACATTTTTCATTTTATAATTTAACCCTCCAGAGAAAATAATTAATTATTTTTAATTTATTATATTTACTTTAACAACTCCAGTGCATTCTGTGTGTGGATTTAAACTGTATTTCCAAGCAAAAAATTAAAATAAATAAAAAAACAACACCCCCTAAACTACGATTTCACTCCATATGTTCCGAAGACAATGTTCACATCTTGATTTGATACATGTTTTCTAATGTTATCTAAATAGTGTTTCTCAACTGGTGGGTTCACAAGACCGTTCTGAGTGGGTCATGGAGTGTACACTCAAACAAACAACTTCAACAACAAAAAAAAACGTTTTTCTGTTTTTTGAAAGACATGCATGAAAGCTGTTGATGCTTCTGTCAGATGCGGTTTAAGTAAAGAGTACCTGAGAAAAACATGCTGTCCCGATTCAGTATCTGCGGTCAGATCAAATGTTGTCAGGCTTAATGTCAGTGCCTTATTCTATCGTTATTTGCGTAACTTACGAAATAAAAAGTCTCTCACCTCAGAAAAACAAACTGTCCTGTCCTGTCAGACGTTACACTGTGCTTGTAAGCGCACACTCTTCACGCTCACGCTGTATGTCACTTCACTAAAGCACAAAGGAAACTATGAGCATGCAACGTGTGAAATAAAAGTAAAGTACCAATACACTGCCTTGCGAAAGTATTCATACCCCTTAATTTTTTTCATGTTTTGTTATGTTGCTGCCTTATGTTTAACTGCTTTAAGTTACTTTTTTTCCACGTCAATCTACACTCCATACACCATACTGACAAAGCAAAAACAGAATTGCATAAGTATTCATAACTAAATATTTAGCTGAAGCACCTTTACAGCCTCAAGTCTTTTTTGTTCGATTCGACAAGCTTTTCTCATCGGCATTTGGCAATTATCTGCCATTCTTCACCTCACCTCTTCACCTCTCAAGCTCTGTCAGGTTGGATGGGGGCAGAT